TCTGTCTTCAAAAAAAAAAGGGAGGAGGAGGAAAATACCAGAAATGGCAGTCCTGTCAGCTGGATGTTTTATTGGGCAAGAGCCTCAAACAGATACCGCTGTGAAGCAACCTTATTTCTGAGCACTTGAGAGCAATGGGCTCGTTAGCAAAAGCCAGCTTGGTCAGCAAAGCAATTTGCTCATTCCATCTTCTCTTGAGACGTGGGGAAGTTCCAGGCAGCTGAGACAACTATCATTCCCTGAGTGACCTAACTCGAGAGAGCCTCCAGAGTGACTTAATTAAGTTTGGAAAGAAGGACGGAGCAAGGACGAGATTGTTGAGCCCCAGCTCTGCGCATCTTAATAGCTTTATTAATGAGTTAATTTATTGTCATTGCACCTCGTACAATGAAATTAAATGCCATCTATGTCATCGTTATCTTCTTTAAACAGCCCCAATAATCCCTTGCGGGGTGGAGTCTGGACAACTGAATGGAGCTAGCAGAGTGTTTTAATGGCCGGATGCCTTTCCTGTTGCCAATGTGGAGTCTTCCCCCCCCCAGCAGATATATTTCTGATCGTGCCCAGAGAGATAAATATCTGCCCTGACCTAAGATCGAACTCACAGCCTCCTGATTGTGAGGTGAGAGCCCCACCACTAGGCCACTGCACCACTCCTATCTTCAGTGTACATTGTACATAAAAAGATAAAACAAAACACACACACACCCTTCACATTCCATGCAACTGAATAGAAAACCCCTGATATTGCATTCATGGTGCACTAGACAGTAGAATTCAGTAGAGCTGTGATGGTGGCATGCAGGTGGCACGCAGAACCATTTGTGCCGGCACGCAAGCTGCAGGCAAACTTACCTCACTGCGCATGTGTGCACCTCACAGCTGACTTTCGGCGGGTTTGAGGATTTTTTCCATCTCCCAAAGGCTTGAGAAAGGCTTCTGCAGGCTGAAAACTAGACCTGTTTCATCACTTCCTGGTTTTCTGAAAATACCGGAAGTGATGAAACGGGCCTAGTTTTCGGCCTGCAAAGCCCTCAAATCAGCCAAAAATCAGCTGTGAGGCGCAGCTGAGGTAAGGGGGTGGCAGGGGTGGGTGGGTGGGGATTGCATGCGCATGTGTACGGGGTGTGGGGGGAGGCGCATTGCCTTCTGGGTGCTGGCATATGAGCGTGCAAGTGCGCACACAATTTTTGGCACAGGAGCCCAAAAAAGGTTAGCCACCACTGCAGTAGAGTGACTGCTCTGGGATAGAAGCTGTTTTTCAGCCTATTTGTCCTTGTTTTTATTATTATCCTGTACCGTCCGCCAGGTGGTAATAGTTCAAAAAAGAAGTGGGTTTTGTGCCCAGGATGAGATGGATCCTTGAGAATGTTTTGAACTTTCTTAAGGCAGTGGGAGCTAGAAAACTCTTCCAAAGAGGGAAAGAAGCCAGATCTAAGCCAGTCTAAGTGCGATTGTCATTTGCTAAGTGAATCAGTTCAGTTGTTAATATAGTAACATGGTTGTTAAAGCGAAACAGATTTCCTCATTGACTCGGCTTGTCTGTCAGAAGGTCGCAACAGGGGATCACGTGACCCCACCCCGGGACTCTGCCACCATCATAAATGCGAGTCAGTTGCCAAGCGTTTCGCATTTTGATGACGCAACCGTAGTGATGACACAACGGTCACTACAAGTGTGGAAAACTATCATAAGTCACTTTTTCCAGTGCTGTTCTAACTCAAATCACTAAATCTAAATTCTGTCATCTGCACCTCTATAACTGCCTGGTTTGATTCTGCAACCCAACAGGACAGACACAGACTCCAGAGGGTAATTAGGACTGCAGAAAAAATACAATGGCTACCAACCTGCCTTCCACGGAGGACCTGTACCCTGCACGAATCAAAAAGAGGGCTGTGAAAATATTTACAGACCCCTCACATCGCGGACATAAACTGATTCGACTCCTTCCCTCAAAACAACGCTATAAGGCACTGCACACCAGAACAACTAGACACAAGGGGAGTTTTTTCTCTGCTAAACAATTAATTCCCTCTACACTGTCCAACTATTTACAAAGTGTGCACTACTATTACTATTAATGTTCTCATCACTCCTTATCACCCATCCCCTCCCACTGGTGACTGTATGACTGTAATTTTGTCGCTTGCATCCTTACGATTTATATTGTTTCTTAGTATGATTTGATCGCTTATTGTACCCTATGACTATCATTAAGTGTTTGTACTTTTATGATTCAACGAATGTCTCTTTTCTTTTATGTACACTGAGGGCACTTGCATCAAAGACAAATTCCTCTCTTCTGTATTCTCTTCTGTATTCTCTTTCTCTTTCTATTCTATTCTGTTCTATGCTATGCGATAAGCAGCCCTACAAATTACATAATTTTAAAAAGTGGGTTAGAAAAGCAGAGGTTAGACACATCCCTTTTTCACACCTGTGCTGCCTTTCAGTGCCAAGACTTGCCAAGTTTTATAATTAATGACAGCCTAAGAGGGAAGAATGGGGATATATATCATAGACGGTGACCTATCTTAAATTATTTTGAGATGAGTGGCAGGCTGCCATTCGGCTGAAAAAGGCCCCACCTTCTTCCTTAAATGGAAGGTGAGCAATCTTTTAAATGCAGGAAGGATCAACTTGTGACATTCTTTGCCTTTGAGTGTTGGATGTCTACACCCGGCCTTATTTTGACAGTCGACTAAACGGTGAAATAAATCCATCCGGGATTGCTTGGCTCCACCCTGGATCTCCAAGCTTAAACTCATTACTCAATGGCCAAAATATTTGTGGAAGTGGCCCATCACAGACCATGTGGTGGAGGCCCTTCCCAAATAATAATAGCTGTGGGATAATGGTCTGGCTGCCACTGAGAGTCATTAATCAGAATAGAGCTGGGAGGGACCTTGGAGGTCTTCTAGTCCAACCCCTGCTCAAGGAGACCCTATACCATGTTAGACAAATGGCTGTCTAGCCTCTTCTTAAAAACCTCCAGGGTTGAAGAACCCATAATTTCTGGTGACAAGCTGTTCCATTGGTTAATTGTTCCGTGAGGAAGTTTCTCCTTAGTTCTAGGTTGCTTCTCTCCTTGATTGGTTTTCATCCGTTGCTTCTTGTCCTGCCCTTCTGGTGCCTTGGGGAATAGCTTGACCCCCTCTTCTTTGTGGCAGCCCCTCAAATTCTGGAATACGGCCATCATGTCCCCCCTATTTCTGCTTTTCTTTACACTAGCCCACACTTAAACCCCACAGCCGCTCTTCCTATGTTTTAGTCTCCAGGCCTTCAATCATCTTAATTGCTCTTCTCTATACTTTTTCCAAAGTCTCAACATCTTTCTTTGCAATGTGGGGACCAAAACTGGAGGCAGTAATCCAGGTGTGGCCTTACTACGGCTTTATAAAGCAGTGCTAATACTTCATCTGATTTTGATTCTGTGCCTCTGTTTATAATACAAGGATTGTACTAACTTTTTTGGCCGCTGCAGCACACAGCTGGCTCATGTTTAAGTCATCGTCCATTAGGTCCATCTTGGAGTTACTGAGCTAGGTTTCGCCTGATCTGTCCTGTACCTTTGTCTGCCAAGAGTCCCAGAAAACCAATTCGCCAGAAAACAACAGAGACCCAAAGATGCTGAATTCACATGGCATAATAAATCTGGAGACATCATTAATTCTTCATTTATCTAAGACACAACACCCCACCCAGGGGTGGGATTCTACCAGTTCGCACCTATTTGCTAGAACCGGTTGTTAACATTCTAAGCAGTTTGGAGAACTGGTTGTTAGAAGAAATTACTGGGCTAATCCTGTAAGGAAGGCAGGAAGGAAACATTCTGGGGTTGCTTACAGAAACTGCCTCTCTGTTAACCCTTATTACATTCTTGGCAGGACTAGACTTCCTGTCTCAAGAACATTTCTGGAGTTTTTTCCCCTCCTTTGCTGGTACTTTGCTTGTGTGGAGTGACCATTCCAAGTTACAATGGCACTAAAAAAAGTGACTTATGACCATTTTTCACACTTACAACTGTTGCAGCATCCCCACAGTCATGAGAGGCCAGGCGAGGAGATGCGTGCCTCGATGTGAGTGATATTGAGTTGGCCACACCCAGCCAATAACATGATCACCAAGCCACGTCTACCCAGTCACATGTCCACCAAGCCACGCACACCAACTAAGCCACGCCCACAGAACCAGTTGTTAAAAATTTGAATCCCACCCCTGACCCCACCCCCAGAATAATCCAGATTAATCCTGTCCAACTGCCAAGGCAAGTTCTGGAGTTTTGCCAGACCGTAAAGTCATCACTGGATTTCAGGGTTCCCTCATCACAGGTCCCACGGGGACAGGATCAGTTCAAAACTCCGGTGCCCCAACAGCTGTGGGGAGGCTGGTCTGCTTGGTTCTCTGCCCCTCACACAAACCCCTTGGCTCACCACTGACCCCTTTGCTCAGCCTGTTCATCCGACGGAGCCATAAGCTACTCTGACTTGGCTAGGAAATCACAAAATCATTATTATCCTTTAGCGACCCTTGCATGGTGGAGTCTGGGAAACTGAATGGAGCTAGTGGAGTGTTTACTGGCGGATGCCCTTCCTCTCGCCAATATGGAGTTTTTTGTTCAGCAGATATTTTCTCATCCTGCCCAGAGAAATATCTGCCTCTACCTGGCATTGAACTCACAGCCTCCTGATTGTAAGGCGAGAGCTCCACCTCACACTAGTCTAGGAAATCACAAAATACCTAGGAAAAATAATATCCATAATCCAATTAGCCTGCTATGTGATGCTGTGTGAATGGTTCCTCTGGGTCAGCCTAAATCCACAATTCTTATTTTTGTTCCAGATCAGCTTCACTTTTGTTTTGAACTGAAAACCATGAAAAGAATTTAAATCTGTTTTTGTTTCTGTTGTTCAGCTGAGCCTGCTGACCTCAAACAAAGGAGCTTTTGTCCACTAAATATTAAAAATACATAATCAGATTTTGGCATCTGATCTCACCTCCTGCTGAGCCTTTGGAGGAAGTTCACAGTTCTGGATCTCTTTGTACACCTTTGGCTTGCCGGTGGCCTTTGCACACTTGGTTTTCATCAACTCCATCGTCAGATAATATTTCGCCCCTGCGACTACCTGGATTTAAATGAAGAAAAAAAATACAGTAATGTGACCTTAAAGTGAATTACAGGTGGGAAAAACCCAGAACAGATTCAGCTACATAGATTGCAAACCAGGAAGTAGTTTATCACTAGAGAGGAGCAATAACAGAACAACAACAGAATCACAGAGTTGGAAGGGACCTTGTAGGTCATCTAGTCCAACCCGCCCACCCAAGAAAATCAACGCAAGAGGAAATATTTCTATATCTGATATGAACAGCAGAAATCATGTCCTTTGGGGTCATGATAACAGCCCCCCCCCCCGAACACCCCTAAGCTTCCTCCAGCACCCCCAAACCTTTCTACTGTTTCCAGAGGAATTCCAAATCCTTTGGCTACTCTGAGGATCCAACGAGGCTGCCCCTCCCCCGCAAAAACCCTCCCACCTCCAGACACATACACTGCCTCCCCAATTCTCTTCCACTGTACCTACAGCCCCAATTCTCTTTTGTTGTACCTACAGCCCCCAATTCCCTTACCTAGAGCCCCCCCCCCCCCCCGGGCTTTGGCTATCCCAAAAAGACCCCAACTAGGCTGTTTCACCCTCCCCAAGACACACACCTGGGACTGCGCCTCCACAATGCGCAACTGCTTGTAATAGTAGGCGTTTGTGCTGAGCGAGTTGTATTCTTGCACGGCGAACTCGGCGGCTTTCTGCACGTCCGGATCCGTGACGGATCTCGGGGAAAGGCCCCCGGGGATCATCGTCGCCGAGGGCAGCAACAGGAGGGCGCAGAGCAGGCGGAGAGGAGCCGCGACGGGCAGCTGGGAGTGCACCATGGGGCTGGCAGCCAAGGCAGAGCGAGCAACCCCAACTGCCGCTCCGGAGGGAAGTTCTCGCAGGTGCCTCCGATCTCTGATCGAGCTGGACGTGGAAGCGGGGCCCTCCCACCTGCGCGGAGGCCACGCCCCTTCCCGACAAGCCCCGCCCCGCGGCTGGGCCTTCTCCGCTGCCACCGCGCGGAGTTTGATCCGTTGGTCGATCGGAATAGTGTGTGGGAAGGGACCTTGGAGGTCTTCTAGTCCAGCCCCCTGCTCTCCTCCTCCTCCTCCAAATAATGGAGTGGGAAGGGACCTTGGGAGTTATACCACCTATTCTGTACTTACGTAATTATACTAGAATGAGCTGGACGGGACTTTGGAGGTCTTCTAGTCCAGCCCCCTAAAGGAGACCCATTTCAGACAAGTGCCTGTCCAGACTCTTCTTGAAAACCACCAGCAATGGAGCAGCCACTTCTGGTGGAAAGCTGTTCCAATGGTTAATTGTCCTCACTGTTGGGAAGTATCTCCTTAGTTCCAGGTTGCTTCCATTAGCAAACAATAACAAATGTCCACCCTAAGTTCTGAACCTTACTTTTCTCACCCATGAATGGCATTTTTTTGGTTAGGGCCCCGTGTTCATGTCTGTCTACACCCTTCCGGATCCTGAACTTACCTTCTAAATCAGGGATCTCCAACCTTGGCAGCTTTGAGCCGTGTGGACTTCAACTCCCAGAATTCCTCAGCCAGCTGGGAGTGGAAGCCCACAAGTCTCAAAGTTGCCAAGGTTGGAGACCCCTGTTCTAAATAAAGTATTGGCTATTTCCACCAGCTTGGTGTCTTCTGCACATTTGATGAGTTCCCTTTCTATCTCCTCGTCCAGGTCATTTATGATCCATCCTCAACTGGAAAAGAGATTTCTTTTCCCTTTCTTTTAAACCTACACCCAATGTAAATCCAGTATCTTTACTTGTCTACAAATAGGTGGCAATATAAATTCAATATCAGGTTGAGGAGGTTCTGGAAAATGAAAAAGTCAAGATCTTGTGGGACTTCAGAATTCAGACTTGACAGGCACTTGGCCCACAACACACCTGACAGAACAATAGTTGAGAAGAAAAAGGTTTGGTTCATTGACATTGCAATACCTGGGGATGCACGAATTGAAGACACGCAGCAAGAAAAAAAAATCACAAAGTATCGGGAGTTAGAAACTGAAGTTGAGCAACTTTGGAAAAAGAAATTGTTGTTATCCCAATTGGAGACCTTGGGGGGTTGCCTCACCATTTGGAAATCCTGAATTTATCAGACTTGAATACCCTGATTCTACAAAAAACCACCCTCCTTGGAACATATATATCCTCCCACGCTACCTGAACAGTTCCTAGGTCCTTGGTTAGGACTCGAGCTGTTGAGCTACCAACCAGCCCCAAAGGCTCTGAATCTCACCAAAGATTAACCAATAAATAATAATAATAATAATAATAATAATGTACTTGGTTGACACCTAGGATGCTGGCAGCAGCCTGTATCAAGCATTAGCACCAGTCATGGTATTTGTGATGCATTTTTGAATGTTCATTTGACTGAGTTTCATGTTTAATGAATAAATAATAATAATAATAATAATTATTATTATTATTATTTCTCTTTTAAGATGCTATTCAAACCAGGCAGACGGAAGGAGAAAGAGAAGGAAGTGTGTGTGTGTGTGTGTGTGTGTGTGTGTGTGTGTGTGTGTGTGTAAAATCCCACCAAACACCCAACGGAGAGTTTTGAGATTTATTTTTCTTTAAAAAAAAATCCGCCAGTGCAGATCGGAAAGGACCTCTCAGGGGGATAAGGAAGCCAATGCCACATTTCGACCTCTTTTTGGCTCCGGCGTTTCCTCTACCAGGGATGTGATCTTCTTCCTTGCACCATCCTTTTTTTGATCCAGGGAAGCAGGTCTCAAAAGGAGAAGAAATGGGGTGCAGGGAGAAGGGGGGGGGAGGCTGCCCAGAGGAAAAAAACATCCTTTTTTAAATCCCCTCCCCCCTTTTCAAACTGGAAAGAAGTTCTCAGTCGGCGAAAGGAGGACCCTCCGTGAGCTGAGTGACCCCATCGCCTCTCCGCCTCCTGGCAGCCTCCCTGGGTGAGGGGAAGCGCCCACTCCGAAGGGCCGCCTCAGTTCTTCTTGTTCTTGGGGGTGTCGTACTTCCTCTTACTCGAGTACCACAGCAGCAGCGGGATGCCGATGGAAGGGAGAGTCATGACGCCAAAGGCGGCCCAGTCCAGCTTTTACAAAGAGAGGGAAGCAAAGGAAGTGAAAGGGGAGAGAAACTGAGGCCAGCCCACCCAGGTATCAGATGCAGATGAACAGAGCTGGAAGGGACCCTTGGAGGTCATCTAGTCCACCCCCACCCACCCACCCCAAGCAAGAGACTCTACATTTCTGACAGACAGCAGTCCAGTCTTTCCTTGAAGCTCTCACAACTTCCGAAGGCAACTTCTGTTCCAGGGGTTGATTGCTCACACCGTCAGAAAATTCCTCCTTATTTCCAGGTTGAATCTCTCCTTGATCAGTTTCCATCCATTATTCCTTGTCTGGCCTACAGACACTTTAGTAAATAGCTTGACCCCCTTCCTCCTCTCTCTGACAGCCCCTCAAATATTGGAAGGTTGCTCTCCTGTCTCCCTTGGTCCTTCTCTTCCCTAGACTAGCCATGCCCAGTTACTGCAACCGTCCATCGTATGTTTTAGCCTCCAGTCCGCTAAAATCATTCTGGTTGCTCTTCTCTGCACTCTTTCTAGAGTCTCAATATCTTTTTTATAATGTGGTGACCCAAACTGGATGCAGGACTCTAGGTGTGGCCTTACTAAGGCTTTATAGAGTGGTATTAATACCTCCCTTGATCTCGATTGTATCCCTCTGTTAATGCAACTTAGGATTGCATTGGCTTTTTTGGCTACCGCCGCACACTGCTGGCTCACATTTAATTGGTTAATCAGCAGAGGCCCCCTCAGAGAATCATTTACCCACAACTGGGTCCCAGTTCAGAGGAGGAGGATGAAGAGGAGAGGTTGAAACTGGGACCATCCAACAAGGAACTGCATCTCTCCCCTGGAAGGTTTGGCGAGTCCAGGAGCTCAGGATGATATTGTCCCAGGCCCCTCGGGCATTGGGGGAAGAGGTCAACCAGGGCAGAAGCTGCCTGACTTCACATACATACATACATACATACATACACACATATTACAGTCACATGAATGCAGGACATTGCAAACAACTGGGCCAGTTGCCAAGCGTTGGAAATGTGAGTGTGTGTGTGTGTGTGTGTGGCCATTGGAACTCTGACTCTGGATCATAAGTGTCCTTAGGGAGGTCTGTTGTAACCTCAACCAGTCGTCATAAGCTGAGGACTATCTAAACTCAGTTATTCCCAGTGATACAAATTAGGAAGTGAGTGAACTCAAGATTACTTACAAAGTGCGGTGAAAACCTCCTGTCGAATTCCCGCTGGGCCAGGATCCCTCCTTGCCCTGGGGCACTGGTGAAGCCGACCTAATGGAAGAAATTAAGGGGGGGGGGTCTTGATTGGTGGGGGATGCTGGACGCCAGGACCCCAAAAACTCTTGTCCTCAAAAGCCCAAAGATCCCTGTCCCCAAACTCACTGAATAATCATCAGCCATTTGGATCAATGATTGATGAATGTCTCTTTTCTTTTATGTACACTGAGAGCATTTGCACCAAAGACAAATTCCTTGTGTGTCCAATCACACTTGGCCAATAAAAGAATTCTGTCCTGTCCTGTCCTGTCCTGTCCTGTCCTAATCTAATTTACCTAACAGCCCAATGAGCTTCCTAGAGCATTGTGGCATGCATGCAACCCTTTCCAAGTCCCTTGCGCAGAATTAGCGGAAGAAATGACCACTGGCAACTTCAAATCCTGCCTTATCATAATATGGTAACATCAAATTTCAGGAACAAAGGAAGGAATCCTTGGGGATTTTACTCTGCTAGTCATTGCCAGATATAGGATCTCATCTCTGTCTCAAGGCCCTTGAGCCAGCGCTGTCCGAAGACATTTCCATGGTCATGTGACTAGCACATCATCACAGAGTGAGATTACTGTTCCCACTGAAGTGGTACCTATTTATGTGCTCGCATTTGCATGCTTTCAAACGGCCAGGATGGCAGGAGCTGGAGCGAGGATGGCAGCTCCCTCTGACGTGTAGCGCTGGGGTCTCGAAACTGAGCTGCCAACAAGCACAGCATCTTCATTGGTGAGCCACCACGACGCGCCCCCCTCCCAAGGTCAGGAAGAGTCGCATAAATATTGCCTGATAAGTTACTAATTTAACCAGTGAACGCTGGCAGATCCTGGCCTCAGGCCAAGGCACCTGTGACTTACCACCACCTGTCCCCCTTCCTGCACCAGGTAGGTGATTGTGGCAGATGTGAAGTTGAAGTAGCCGGCCTTCAGTGGTCTGAGGACCACAGTGTGGGACACGTTGCTGGCCCTGAGCAAGTCAACGCTAAGGAAGTCAGACACACATGTGAAAGCAGCAGAAAAAAAAACCCTCCACTTTGGGACACAGGTAATCCTGGGCTGACGACCATTTGGTCCAAGGGTCTTCAAACTTGGCAAGTTTAAGACTTGTGGACTTCAACTCCTGGAATCCCTCAGCTAACATGACTGGAGGAATTCTGGGAGGTGAAGTCCACAAGTCTTAAATCTGTCGAGTTTGAAGACCCCGATCTCTCTCTCTTTCTCCCTATCTACTGTCGTCCTTTAATTAGGACGATTGCTGGAATCCTAACAGCTACAGTATTATATCTATCTCTATCAATCTATTATTTCCATTATTTATTTATCTCTATTATCTATATCTATCTACAGATTATATCTATTTATCTGTCGTCCGTCTCTCTAATCAATATATGTTATTCATCTATCTGTACCTATATATCCTCTGTCTCTAATTTATAACACCTATAGCTCTGTCTGTATCTGTCTATCTTATATCTGTCTATCATCTATCTATCCTATCTATCTATCCTATCTATCATCTGTCTCTAATCAATATCTATAACTATTTGTTAATCATCTATATCAAGGGTCTTCAAACTTGGCAA